GAAATATATTTTCAATTGCAATCAAAGAGTTGAAACTTAATATAAAACTGTCGCGTTACTCGGTCATAGTATTATTTTAGCAATAACTTGTATTTCTTTATTGGTTAAATTATAACAGAATTTTAATTGGTCGCAGTAAATCTAGATGACATTCGATTAGCAAAAAAAAACGCTTGGAAATAAACTTCTAAGGGTATAATAGAATATTAAAAATGCAGACTCCAGTAATTGTAATGAGTATGATTTTTAGTTTTATCAGTATTTCATAGATCAAGGCAGTGGCGATCTATGTTGATGTTTGCCTTCAGGCAATAACGATGAAATCTCTTTTTAGACACTAACGCGGAGAGAGAGACCGGAAGAAAGGCTCAGGTCTCGAATATCACCGCCGCCAAGGTATGTTCAGAGAGTAATAAGTATTAAAAGACAGAAATCTATTCTTTTATAGTATTCGTATTTTTAATTTTTTGGATGAGTCTTCAAAATCACAATTTTTGGAAATATCATAATAAAGTTCACAATATACGCGTAGATATATTGAAATCAAGTTTGTTGGTCAAAGAATTAATTTTTATAATATGTTAGGCCGTTGCCGATATTATTCGTACATGTCTTGGGCCTCGTTCAATGCTCAAGATGCTTCTTGATCCGATGGGTGGTGTCGTTCTAACTAATGATGGTAATTCTATCCTTCGTGAAGTCGAGGTGGCACATCCAGCTGCAAAAAGTATGATTGAGTTGAGTAGAACGCAAGACGAAGAGGTTGGTGACGGCACCACTAGTGTTATTATTTTGGGTAGGATTTGATAATATCGAAATTTTCTTTGATTAAAATGACATAATTCAAGGGACTAAGCTATACCTTAAAAAAAACAGCTGGTGAAGTTCTTGCTCAGGCACTGCCGTACCTAGAAAGAAATGTACATCCAATTGTCATCATATCTGCATTCAAAAAAGCCCTTGAAGATGCGATAAAGGTTATCGATAATATCTCTAAGCCAGTCAATATAGAAGATCAAGAGGAAATGCTTAAATTGATAAAAAGCGCTATCGGTACTAAATTTGTGAGTAGATGGAGTGATTTGATGTGCAAATTGGCATTAGACGCTGTGAGAACTGTTGCCAAAGAAGAAGATGGAAAACGCGAAGTTGATATTAAAAGATATGCACGAGTTGAGAAGGTAAATTAACAGATATGAAATTCTGTGACGTTTTCATATGCCAAATAATTATGCCATTATTTTAGGTCCCTGGGGGTGAAATTGAGGAATCTAAGGTTTTAGACGGTATCATGTTAAACAAAGACGTTACTCATGCCAGCATGCGTCGTAGAATTGAAAACCCTCGGATAATTTTATTGGACTGTCCTCTCGAATATAAAAAAGGAGAATCACAAACCGCTGCGGAAATTATGGATGAAAGTCATTGGAGTAGATTATTGCAGATCGAGGAAGAACAAATTAAAGAAATGTGTGATAAGATCATATCATTTAAACCAGACCTCGTATTCACAGAGAAGGGAGTTTCTGGTAATTGCTATAAACCTTTATGAATATATAATCGATAATAAATTGACATTTTTTTTTTCAAAATTAAGACCTCGCGCAACATTATTTAATGAAAGCCAATATTTCTGCTATTCGGCGCGTGCGTAAGACGGATAATAACCGAATTGCACGTGCCGTCGGGGCAAATATTGTAAATCGTCTCGAAGATTTGAAAGAAGAGGATATTGGCACAAAATGCGGCCTATTTTCCATTGAAAAGATCGGAGATGAGTAAGTAATTAATACCTTATTACTTTTAATTAATGACTCATGTTCTTATTATATACACCATTTTCATAGGTATTTTACTTTTCTTACTAAATGCGAAAATCCGAAAGCGTGTACAATTTTGCTTAGAGGACCATCAAAAGATATTTTAAATGAAATAGAACGTAACCTTCAGGATGCGATGTGCGTTTCAAGAAATGTTTTCTTCAACCCTCTATTAGCTCCTGGTGGTGGCGCGACTGAGATGGCTATAAGTGTTAAGCTATCAGAAAATTCAAAAACATTGGAAGGAGTGGAACGATGGCCATATAAATCCATTGCGGAGGCTTTAGAGGTTATTCCTAGAACCTTAATTCAGAATTGTGGCGGCAATTCCATTAAGATATTAACACAACTAAGGGTAATCCTTTTAGGGTTTACAATTTTAATCTAAATTTATAAATTAGTTTTTTTTCCTTCATTAAATTTTTATATTTAATATAGGCTAAGCATGCTATCGGTGATCATACATGGGGGATTGATGGCCTTTCTGGAAATGTTGTTGATATGAATGAATATGATATTTGGGAGCCCCATGCCGTCAAAGTTCAAACGATTAAGACTTCCATTGAGGTAATATAACTTCTGTGAATTTATTATAAGTAATTTATATCATGTATACTGATCATTTGCTTCGATTTTTTAAAGGCTGCGTGCTTGCTTCTTAGAGTAGATGATATTGTATCTGGTGTATCGAAGAAGAAATCTGGAGGCAGCAGTGCACCTGCTCCACAGGAGATGGAAGTCGAAGGCGAAGCTGAGCCTGGTGAACGATAAAAGTTATGATAATTGTAGATCCCGCTAAATGTAGTTATTTATACAATTCAAGCGTTAATTCAGCTGCACCAGACGGAATCGGCATTTTTTAAAAAATTTAGATAAAATTGAAACGCACGACATAACGTTAAGCAAATATTAATAGAACCAACGAACCATAAGTTTCATACTTTATATTCTACATTATATCACGCCTGTAGGAACAAAATTTGTATTTTAATGAAATTCCCGGTTTTAACCTGGTTTTTATTATAATAAACCCATCTATTGGTTCTAACAATCGCCAGCTAAATCTCAAGCTACTCATTCGATCTATTATCGATTAAGAATTATACATAGATGAATACATATTAATATTGCGGTTATATCTTATATTGTTATTGAAGTTTATTTGTGAGAAACTAGCTAAATTCCATATGCATGAATATATTAAATTGATCTATGGATCCATCATTGTATGTTGTAAATTGATGTTATTGTTCATTTGTAATAGTTATGTTGATAAGTTTTTGAAGAAGTCTGGTGTTGTCTATAACCTGGCCGTTCAAAAAAACCAGTTTATCTTGTTTATGATTGATGTATACCTATATTGATAGTAATTGTATTGCCTTGTCTAGTTCCATGTATTCTATAATATGTTAGATATTGTATATTGAGATTTGAAGTTTTTAGTATAAACTGTGATCTAGAGTATTATTAGTGCTTTTGTATTTATAGATTACTAGGATTTGCTGAATTTGCTATTTTGTTCTAAAAAAGAGACAGTATTATATTTGTATAGTCACTGCAAAATTCTAGAAATAAGTTTTATACTATATATTTGTAATATGTATATATATATATATATATATTTAATATACTAGCTTATTCCTGCACCAGCATTGAGACCTTTATTAATTATTAAGATAGATCCTAGAGACAACCAGGATAAGTAATTATTCATACTATCTAAGGATTTACAGATTAATAAATAGTATAAGGGACATCTATTTACATTTCATCTAATCAAGATAGGGAACTATGTGACTATCTAGTATAGGATTTCTCTTAATTCTTAATTAAGGCAGAGGATCTGAAGGTGTTTTAATTTATCAATTTAATAGGGTACCATCCATGTTTTAAACCTCCTATAATTGAAGTTACACTTCCTAAAACTGATAGTTCATTAGATGGCTTATTGTTATTCCTATATAAGGAGACTAATGTATCAAGAACTTACTGTATTTAAGATGCTTAGCACCACTAATGTTGGGGATCTCTTATACAGGATCTTTATAACTTTGGTTATCACATATATTTTATAGGAGGCTTGTCTTGTTTTTTTTTTGTGATTGCCTATTCTTTTAGCAACTCATTTTTGTCTCTTAAAGAAATCTATTTTGTGTTTCGTTAAATGTTAGAATATCTTACTGCCCAACTTTGCCACTCAGATAGAAAATTAATCTTGATCAAGAATGTCATATTACTTAGTTTTGCCTCATTTGAAATCTGTTTTTGATCTTTAGCTTGCATATTGAACTGATTTTTTGTCTTATTATGGGTATGATAGGTGATTGATTTCTTGCTATAGCCATGCTGGAGTACCGGATCATCATTATAGGATAGATAAGATCTTTGTATCACCAATAGTTAATTTTTTATTTGGCCCTTATGTGGTATTAAACTCTGGATCTTGTGATTATAACTTGGGAGTACTATCACTGTGTTATATATCTACAGATTATGTTTGTAATATATATATATTATTTTTCTTTATATATTTCTTTATTTTTTATTATTTGTTTTTGTTTTTTCATTTGTTACCAAGATTCAATATTTAAATATAGAATATGTCACTGGTTTATAGTAATGAAATGAATTGTATATATCTATAAAATTTAATATATTAAAGTTAATCAGTTATTAAATTTTCTGCTGATCCCTTGACAACACACAAAAAAGATGTTCGCAAAAAGTTTTATATTTTTCTGCTAATAAAGTCTTATTATTTTCTCTAAAACAACTTGAATAATATCTTCAAGAGTCCCTCCCAACTTCCCTTTCTTATTTATACTCTTTTTCAAACAAAAACTTGATTTTCGATAATCAAAAAAAGTCAAAAAACATCTTTTTTACCAACGACAAGAAAGTTCTAAAAGGAAGAAAAACCAACAGTGAAGTACTAAAAGCCTATCTCCTGAAGTAAGAGTGTAACTAGAGGTTTTCTGCAGTGGGTGGATGGGCGAACAAAAACCTAAACCAAAAAATTTCCTTCCCACTGTTTCTATCCTCTTAGAGTCATACATTTTTCAGAGTTTTTTGGGGAATTTTGCCTACTCCAGCTTGACCCTGAATTTTGGAGTGACACAAGATTGACATAGCTTTTGCTAAAGGTGATTGGTTGATATGAAACACATTAGTAGCAGAATGTAAACAAGCTCCTACTAGTTACATCACATGTACCGATGATGTCATTGGTAAAAGAAAGAGTAATTACTGGTACGGACTCCTCCACTCTTCCAAATGAAGTGTAACTGAAGTAAAGAAATCATAAGGCCATTAGAATGGGCACTAAATTTCCTAGGTGGTGAAAAGGTGGTTATTTGTTCAAGCCAAGGCCTTCAACTTCTTATTATTCTGGTCAGGCAAAGTACACAAAGGAGGTTATTTCCTTATTCCGGTCAGGCTATAAGACCGAAAAGCAGAAGAATGTAAAACACTGCCCTTCTTTAGGATTGAGAATGCATTTTTCCAGACGTTGTGTAATAATATTGTAATTGACGAGGATTCCCATACTCTTTACAACCCTCTCACTATTACAAGGCAAAAAGATTGTTAGAGAATCTGATTTTTTGGGTAATGAAAGATATACACCAGTAAATTTCCTTTAACTAGGTGTGGCTGCTAGAAGATATCAGAAGTTACACAATAAGACTGAAAGGTCACATAAGAACCTGGGGTCCATCATTAGCCATTTTCTTCTGTGCAGGTGGATATAAAATCAAGACCGAAAGAAAGGAAGCATTGAGCAAGACACTGGATCTGAGTAGGCGATAAGTACCTCAGACGGTCACAAAAAAATAATTAAGAGCACAGATGGATGAGTTCCTCAGATGGTCAGGAAGAAGAAGAATATCTCAGAAAGGTTGGCTTCTAATGAGAAGAGGTTTTTAGCAGAAGTCCTTTGAAGGACATGGAGCATTTTTAATTTTCTTTTTATTTTTTCATTTTCATGTAAGCACAGTTATACATTTTTAGATATTCCCTTTCTTTTTTTTTTTTCCTTTTCCTTCTGTTGTTGCTCGAATTTGGTGTTTTTGTGGGTGTGAAGCAGTGACAAGCTG